TTAATTAGTCTGTGAACCCTCTATTGGGTTCCAGTTGATCAATTAGGAAAACAGAATTGCTCAACTTTCCTTACATTTTCTACAGTAGAGAATTTGCAATTATTACAAACAATAATTCCTCATGAAACAAAATAGTTTAACTGATGATATGACATTATGGGCTAAACCTATTGTCTGGATACATTATTACAGACCAATGGGTGTCATATGCTGTAGTGATTGTAAAGCCTTTTGAGGCAAATTTGTCATGTTGAGCTCATAGCAAGAAAATTGACTTTACCTTTGTGATGCTGCTACACTGTCAGCAGTCTAAAATTAAGTTTCACTTTCTGACAGCCAACAAGAACATTTCTATACTGTAAAGTCATAAACAGTCACGTGAATCAAAGCCCCACCTCATCAGACTGTCACTTTCATTATGAAGATTTACTCAAAAACGTAATTCTGCAATGTTGAAATGCCGTTCTAAGTATGTTTCAATTACAATCATTTAGCATATTTGGGTGACCGTGGGAGCCGATTTCAGAGGTTGACTGTTAATGAAATATTGCAAGTAAGAAAAATAAAAATGTAACATTTCTATTCAACTGTGCAATTCTCCTACCGAGGAGCTCCGTGGTACTGAAATTTATAATGCCATGCAGTTCAGATAAATCTTTCTAATGTGAAAATAATATGTTTTAGACTTTATACGGTTCTGGAAAAAAAGAGGCACTTGCATAGCGAAATGACAAATAATTTATAAAACATGTTTTTTCTCCTCTCGCATCAAATCAATTTTTTTTCCCTAAAAGCAGTGCAAAACCTAATATTAGACAAAGCACTAAGGAATGTTAGAGAAAGAAAATATGCAGAGGGCAGAGCAATACCAACCTTTTTGGAAAGAAGTTACCGAAACTAATCCAAATAAATACTAGGTGGATCAGAATGCGAGAGCCCGAATGAAAAATCAAGGGGGAAAAAAAATCAATTGATCTAATTAGGCAAAAATGTTTTTCTTGAATCGCACTGCACGTTATCTTCAAATACTGTGGAGCACCAGGCCAGTGGGTTGTTGATGTATAATCCACAGTTAGGCTACTTAATTCCCTTCACTGGATGGAAAAAGGAAAAAACAAAAGAATCACAGAAATGGACCTCTAGATGGATTTCTGGACATGTGCTTAAAAAAAATATGTAGTAAGACAAGACCTTAAATATATACGGATCTTTTGTAAAAAAAAGAAAAATATGATTAACTTCAGGGTAATTCAGGACATTCCAGGTCACTTATACAGTATGTTGATGCCTGAATGGAAAATACATCCAACTGCATCAATCTTGTATGTCGGTATGTTCCAAAAGTTACGTTCCACCGATAATAAAATTGTTTAAAATCACACAAGCTTGTAGACTCACAGACCTTATGGTCACAGCATATAAACTCCTTGCGGGCTCATAGGCATCTTAATTCCACAATCCCTGGACCTTATGGGGCGTACGTACTGGATGGCTTCATCTTTTGGCAGTAACTTGTAAAGTAACTTTGAAAAAAAGTAGTCTTCCGCCCTCTTTAACATTATCTGTGCTCTTCTCTTCTCATGCAGCTGGGGCCTTACACGGCTACATCCACACCCGAGTAATCCAGATAAATGGTTGCTACACCTATCCACACTAGGGTCCACATCAGTATATCCAACATTGGGGTGGGAGGGGCGTACATCCAGGCGGATACATCCCAACTATGTGGTCTTCGCGTGTCTTCATGGTCATCAATCCTAAACAAGAATAGCTCCACAATCTTGGCGTTTGGATCCTTAAGTCTTCTTTATATAGCTTCCATATTAAAATTGTTTAAGGTATGCAGTTAATCTCACCCTAAAATGACTGAGATAGCCTATAATATATGCACTACATTGGTCTCTTGTTTGATGTGTAACAAATGAGAAGTTCTTCCATCCGCTTGTTGAAAACTTTAATCCAGAATAAACTATATCCACCGATCGAAAAAAAGGTAAAAGTAGTCCATCCATCGCCAAGACGAAAAAAATGTGCCGCACAAAATGGGAGATCCTTGACATAATGATACATTACCTGACTAGATTCTTCATAGAAAAGTACGTCCTTCATAATAGGGATTTACTTCCACTTTCAAGCGATTCCAAGTAAAGACGAAGTTAGATCCCGTATTTAGAAGGAAAATGTTTTGAAAAGTATCCAAAAGCTCCCCACAAAATGTAATAGATCCAAAACTCACCAGGTTATTCCGCACAGATGTAATATCCAAACTAGATGTCAAACCTTGAATTATAGTGAACTTACCAAATGATGATGTGTAGTTAATGGAATTAGATCCCATGGGATAAGCGAGTCAATTATCTTGAAAAGTGGAACGATCCCTAATTACATTTGTGCAACCCTCTCGAGGCATCCATCCTCACACATTACCCCACTATGTGTTACGCCTATCCAATACCTCGATTCCCCTGGTCGTTAAGGGGAGGCCGTGTCCACTTACCCATCTATTCTCCGTTCATAACGTCCCTCTCTGGTGTGAAGGGAAACAGGTGGGCCAAACACTGGACCAACTGTTCCCCTAGTGAATCCCGTAACGTCTCGACTGCTCGAGGGGGAGCCGTCTTCAAGGCCCCGAACAGCACTAGGGACTGACCCAGGTTCATTGTAGTCAGTCCGAAGGTCCCTGTCCCCCATCTTGTTGACAGCATTGTGAGCCTTCTGCGCACTTTTGATATCCACAAAATCCACGAAAGCTGCAACACCACCCTCTGACCCTCGCTTCCTCAGGACTTTGACACTTTCCACACGCCCATACCTGTGGAAATGAAAACGAAAACAAAGAGGAAATTACAAATACACCGGCTTAGAGTGGAGGGCTCTTATAAATCCCGAGCCTGGGAAACGGAAAGCAAAAGAAGCATTGAAACTGAAAGCGAACCAGAATTATTTACCTCCAATTACCAAACTAATTTAACATTACCGTTCTTTTATTTTTAACCCCCCCCCCAAACAGCAAAAAAATCTCCTCTTAAACAATATGTGCATTCACTCGTGACTACAAGTATTGTAAGAAGTGTTATGAAGCTTTCTAAAAGAATCCTCGATGTACTCGCGTAATCAAAAACACGTCAAATGTCAATTTTTCAGGAATATAAAAAGCGTATAATCAAACACAGCTGTGCCTCTCAGCTAGTCCTACTGTAGCACAGCAGGCCCCGGAAACTAGGACTGGATGCAATGTTACCGTTTGTTGTGTTACATGATTAGTTAGTTAAGGGGTCGTTACATAACGTAACGTTAGCTAAACGATCAACCAATGCATACCGTTGGCCTATAAGGTTATACGTTACTTCTACAAACAATGGGATGCAAAATGAGTTTAGCGCTCCTTAGATTCAAGCGCTTGGGTAATAAGTTAGCTACGAGGAGCATAAACTGGTTTGAAATGTAACTTGCGTGTAACGTTAGATCGGCCTGTTTTAAAACAATACTAACGTTACAACAACAATCAACGTGAACGTTAAGTAATAGCGATGGCTACCGACGTCGAGCAGCTCAATAACTTGCTAACATTTGTGATCAGTGATCAATGTTAGTCGCAGATTTCGGACTATCTAACGTTACATTTATTTATGTTTTTCTCAAACACAGTTGGCCAGATACATGGCGTTAACCAAACGGCTACGATAGCACCAGTCGCGTCATGTTATTTGACCTGATGCCCAGCTAGCGTTAGCTGCCTTTGGCTTGTACTGATCATGTAAACGTTTCGACTTCCCACAAAATGGTTGGTTGGGTGGAAGCTCGGTGGCTACAAAACCTAGCTACATGCCTATCGGGTTTACCAAAAGTTAGCCAATCTCCATTAACGATAAACATTTACACGTGAGGGTTTCCACAACCAACAACGCTCCATAAATATAGCTGGGCTGCAACACGGCATAGACCGCACATAGGAAACCCCGACTTGTAAAACGTAAGACATGCTAACGTTAGCTTCGTTAGCATTAGTCGAAGGCTGACCGTTCCAACAAGCTAGCGTTACTAGTTAAGCTAGCGCGCGTTGCTTTGCCAACAGAGGACCGTCTTGCGTAACCTACCGTTTAAAATGCTCCACAATTTTTTCCTCTCGAACGTGTTCGGGTAAATTTCCCACCCAAAGGTGTCTGGTTTCCCGAACCATCTTGCGATATTCTTCCCCCCCTTCACACTCATATGATCATGCAGGTTTCTAATCCCTGCCGGTCGGAGGTCCGCCTGTACAAAATGAACGCCGGGGGACTCCGTGGATAACGTGGGCCTGGTAGCCCGCTGTAGCTTTAGCTGATGCGTCCTCGATCCGTGCACGTGGACGAGCGTGAGACTCGCTCCCGGTGGTTTTGGGTGCGAGCTGCGCGTGCTCGATGGCTGCGAACACGCAATAGTGAGCACGCGATTTCTTTAGAAGGAAACGAATTCATTGCAATGTAAGGCTGAGCAGTAGTCTTAAAATCAACCTTGCGACCGTTATCTTTAAATTCACCAATTATTTGTTGTGTTATCTACGAAATGCGAATGTGGAAACGATCACATTTTCTTCAAACAGCCTGTTTGGCCCCAACTTGATTCAGTTTGTATTGATGAAGGGAAAAGGGCAGCGGGCCACAGTTAGCTGAAAGCAGCAAATGTTTAGCTTGTCATTTTAGCTTGGTACATTATTTCAAAATTGATGGTCAAAAGTGATCTGCCACCCCAGAATAATTCTGGCGCAACACTCATGCATTGTTTGGGACACAAGTCCTCATATTACTGTCTTCGTATGGTTATACAAGCTGGTCAGAAAACTCACTCAGAGTAAAAGTGATGTAAACCACACATTTGTCTGGAAAAAAAAGTATGAATTCAAACCAAATCATTTCTTTCAAATATTACTACAGTAAGGACTAGCTGAAACAGATAATACATATAATAGTAAATAAAAAGTGTGATGAATAAAAACGTAAATGCCCCAAAAAATTCCACCATTTTTTTTTTTATAAAAGTTTATATACAAAGACAATCACACAAACAAGCCATTTTGAGCTACTGAACATAAATAAGGAAAGAATCTGACTCAGACTTTTAAATTCAAATCATTGTGAATCGTTCTATTCTTGAGGCAAAAATAGTCAATATAGGCCCCTGTTCCAGTCTATGTGTTCAAATGTTGTCACATCTAAAGCGGCCTCTAATTTTGGTTCCGAATGAGTGCTTTTTCAAGTACCATCATAGTCATTATTACTGTTACACATTATTTATAAATCTCAAATGTTTGTAGTCAACGTTCTCATCTTAACTCATATTAATAGTGTTTGTGTAATTTAACAAACTGTATGTTGGCTCATGATCAAATATATTAGTTTACTTTCATAAAGGTTGTTTTCTATATAAAGGGTTAATGTGATTGAAAAACAGTTTACTGATTGAGACTACAAGAATTCAAATAATGCTCGCACAATGTTCACAATGTTTTTTGAATAAATATATTTGCTGCATTTGGTTGTTTATTGAGTGCAAAATGATCAAGTATAAAAGAATAAAATGAGAATCAAAAGCATGATATATTGTGAAGAAAAAGGAAAAGAACAAGCCATATGTTATTATTGTTCTATTGGAAGATGTGTGACATTGTTATTCCAGAGTCGTGCACATTGCCCATCCAAAGTCCCCCATCTCTCGTGGCACTTTTCCATCAGTTGCAGTTGATCTCGGGACGTAAGGTCAGTGTCAGTGCTGCCCAGAAACCACACTCAGATGGCAAGATTTGCAAAGCAGATTCCCATTTAAAGGATAGCAGCCATGCTCATTCGGTTCAGGGGAAAGCTGGATAACACAGATCTGCAGAAAATGAAAAATACTTCCTTAGTGAGGATTCATTTGTGTTTGCATAACAGTAAACACTGTTTGCTCACCGAATGCCTACCTCACACCTGTAGCAGTTTTCGTGGTACGAGTGTCCCAGGCATTCAACATTATAGCTGTCAGTACCATCTTCTTTTGGAATGATTAGCTGTTTGCAGGCGTTGCACTTCGGAGCATACTTCCTTTAAAGACAAGGAAAGAAAAGCAAGAATGAGTTTTGCAACCATGTGTCTACAATGGCAATAAATTAAGTTAAATTGAACGGGATTTCCAGATTAGAAGGAAAAAGCCGTTTGTTAATGTATCACGTTAAACGTTGTTTATGTGGTACTTGCCATAATCTTTAACGACCCTACCTGTAATAGTCATGGAGGCAATAAACTTCTCCAACTTCTCCTTGAGCAAAAGCTTTATCCCCAATTTGCTGTTTACAGGTTGCACAGGTGAAACAAGGAAGGTGGTATGCCCGCTCCAGGGCACGGATCACATGGTCTGTGATGACCTCCCCACACGCCCAGCAAAGTTCCAGGCTCGCCTACAAGACAGAAATGAATGGTCACTGGAATACAATCCAGCAAAAGACCACACCACATTTTCCCCTGTATAACTCATTGACAATAAACCATTTATACCTCATGTGTGAATGGTGGTAATTCTCCAAAAGACAGTTTAGTGTTAAACTTCTTTTATGCAGTTTCTCCCACTTTGCAATCAACATTTGGCTCCCGTTGAATTTTTGCAAAACATGCAAACCAAATATTTGATTTCTTTACAACGAGCATCTTTGCTGCCTTTCTTTTTTTACACTTCAATCAGATTGGAATTCAATCAAACTACAGTGTTCACTAAAAACACATGGCATAGTGTTTGATAGAAGGATGTATCTGCAGCTTTAAGACCATCCTACCTGGTAGCAGTCTTCACAGAGTGGGATTCCCGCCTTGTTGTAGTACTGTTTACCAGCCAGGGGAACGTGACAAGATCGACACTGGAAACAACCGTCATGGTACGTCCTGTTTAAGGCCTCTATCACAGGTTCAGAAGGAGCCACGGGTTTCCGACAGAAGCCACACACCTCTGTATGGTAAACAAACAGATCACATCAATGCAGGTTACATTTACATGTGGATTTCGTATGGCTTACACAGTAAATGTGTAACTAGAGATCCTGTTACCTCTACTCTCCCTGCTCGTGTCTTGGCCACTTTTATGGATCCCGTGGGATTGTTCATCTTGGTTTAACCCACTAGATGGTGTGCTTGTTTCCACCTCAAATGTAAAGCACATTGTTAATGTAAATGTACATTTGTGTTTGGCCTCACAAGATGAACCAGACACTGAAATGAATGGTTGATTTTGAACAAACAATATCCACGTTTAATGTCTCTAAATAAATATATGCGCAGATTATGCCCATTGAAGCCGAAAATCTCCAACATTTTTATTAAAAAGTTCAAAGAAAGATCAATGCAAATGTCTTTAAAAAAAAATAATATGCAAATCATTTTTTGCAGATCATCCCTTATGACCGCTGCACACCAATTTACAGTATCCGTAATAATTACTTGTCTGATTTTGGTGAAAAGTGGGATCAAACTAATGACAGTAATGGACATAAACATTTGAGTGATGAAACTGTAACTGAAGTCTGGTCACCTCTTTGTCGTGAACTGGCTGCAGGCTTTGGATCAGAGGGGGGGGGGGAGGCTTCAGGGCGGGAGGAGGTGGTGGAAGAGCTGATTCTTCAGAGAACAATGTTCCATGAGATGAAGGCTCTGCAGCAGGAGGAGGAAGAGGAGGAGCAGGGAAGAAATCTGTTTGACAAAAAAAATATTACTTTGAATCACTACAATACTGATCTCCCGTCCTCCTGGTAAACAAACTATGATTTGTAAAAGAGGTTGTGTTCTCTTTTAGACAGAGTCCGAGATCTTGTAAGCACTCATTTATAGTTTGGGAATCCCTCTACCCCAACAAATGATTCAAAAACATAATATGAAGCCAGGCCCTCGTGGCATCAGCACCATACAGGGTCATTTTCTGCATGTATTTCAGGTGCTGTGTCTAATCCAAGATGAAACATTGGTTTTGTCATGAATACCTGCATCTCTGTTGCCTCCTTGCAGCTTTCCTCTGCTGGCTCCGGTTTGGGCAGGTTTGGGGCTCTGAGAGTCTGACGTTCTGGCAGCGGCCCCCGTGAAGAGTGGCTTTTTGCTGTCTACTCTGCCATAACCCTCCGGCTGCTGGTCGTCCTCTTTCTTGTGTCTGACGGCGTGGACGTCGCTCGGGCTAACTCGCACAGCCGTGTGCGGCTTGTCTCTGACTGCACCACTGTGAGCTTGGAGGACGGGCTGCTGCTGCTGCTGTGTGACTGTGGCTCGGTGAGGAGCAGCCAGCGTGATGAAGACTGAGGACACCATCCTTTTTGGTAGAGCTGCCGATGCCATGACTGTATAAATCCCACATAAAACCTACAAGGAGGACAGAAAAAATGATTATCTGCACATTCAATGGTTTGTAGTTCCTTGGAAACATAGAAACAATCCACAGCCTCAACACCATTTGAGGTTGAGCATGTTATTCAAGTTGAGACATTTCATTTGCATCATGTCAATAGTGTTGAATGTGTACACACCCTTTAAGTCAAGTTTGTGGGTGTGTTCACTATCACTATCACTTTAGAAAAGTAAATTCACACACTCACTGCTCTCATTATCTATAATGAATGGTTTTAGGGGGAGAAAGCCCCAATTTGAATCATTTGTTAACTTGAAACCCATTGAATCTGTTTGTGAGCTGCCATTACATACCTGTGAGAAAATGTGGTTTGGAGACAGCTCAGTCTTTTGCTCTTCCTCCCTTGCTGTGCTGTATCTCAAACCGCCTGGTGTGTTTTCCTTACTGTAAGCTGCCACAGAGAGAAGACTTTACTCCGCTAGAGAGGGCGATTATCGGCAGAAGGCCACTCCTTTTCCTTCTGCGCCTTCCTCCCGGACTCTCTCCTCTGTCGACTCCTCCTCCTTCTCAAGCTGACTGACAATACCACCTTCCTCCCGACCGTAAAAGGTGAAGAGTTAATCTCGGGCAAAGTGCAGTAAAAAACATGACACATGCATCCGCTTTGAAAACCTGGCAGGCACGCAGCCACACACAAACACGAAGGCATGCATGCACACAGACACACAAAGAAAGTCATGCAACCGTTGGTAAAACTAATCAAAAGCAACTTTTAAATATAATATCGTGAGATCTTTGCCCTTAAATAACCTCATTCAGACCCCCGCTCCTTCGTGTTTTTCAATGCGTAGCAGGATGTGACTGTACCTGCCTTTTTTTACAGCAACTATCTATCTCAAACTGTCCTCTTTTACTCTCCCTTGCAGCTCTGCCTTATTGTTCTGTCAGCTTTATTTTCCCTACCTCCCTCATTGAGTCTGCCTCCTTTTTTTCTCCCTCGTTCGGCCTTCCCTTCCCCCACTACATTATATCACTTCAGCCTTGACTCGCTATCAGTGTCTCCTAGGACTGCTCCCATTTGTGCCCCTCCAACGTCTGATAGTATGTTCTGGACTTCATCAGGCTCCTCCGATGGAGCTTCTTTGGTTGAAAGCAGCCATGAAGGAGCTGCAGCATTACGGTGCGATGAATCAGGGCATTGTGCAAGAGGAGATATTGGTGTATTAGGAGAAGGGGGAAGGGGTGAATGTGTGTGTGCGTGTGTGTGTGTGGGGGGGGGGGGGCAGTGTCTGTGAGTCCAATGAACAAGCTGCTTTGTTATGTTCTGTGCTCTGAGTCCAAGGCCGTATCACGTCTGCTGATCAGCAAATGTTGTGTTTAGTTTCCGTAGGCCAACCTTTGTACGGTCCACTCCCCTCCTGAGCGTCGGAAAGAACAGACAAGATAGCGTGACGAACTACGTGTTGAATATGGATCAGTCTGGTGGAAGAGAGGGGGTTAACAGGAGACGCAGATGAGGAGAGTGATGGGGGTCTCTGTTGTTCCAGCTCTGTGCAGAGGAATGCTGCAGTGATGTCACGGTTGCAGGAGGGAGCATGCTTGCTGATGACACAATCCCCGGACCGCCATGCTCCGCCCCCCCAACAGCCTAAATCCTCATTAAACTCCGTGAACCCCTTCACTGGATCTACAACATGTCTTTTCAAATCACTCCTCAACATCACAAGCTATTTGCGTTGCTTTAACCCTCAGTTTGTATCTACCTGGTTGAGCAGGGCAACGTTTTAAAATAGAATGAAAGGAATGAAAAAGGAAGAAACACAGAAAGGAAAAAAAAAAGACAATTCTACGTTCACAAAAACTGATATTGTTCTCCTACGTGCAGACATCTGCAAGGGTGATAAAACTATTGACAGGGAGAATTACCGTTACTTTACCAAAATACCTCAAGTGGGAGTAAGATTACTGGGCAATGTGAAGTGAAGGAGAATGTGAGACACAGAAGCCAAAGCATTCTGACTTTACTTTATGGTGCAGCTCCAAAAACGCCAGATCCTACACTTCCCACAATGCAACTGGATAATGTTTCATTAGACCACACTGGTTCATAGGCTCTTCTTTAAAACACCTCACACCTCCTGTTAGTCGTGTAGGCTTTCTGTTGAAAAAATAAACCTCGCATTGACAGCATCCTTTTCCAAAAAACTTTATAAAGCTCCCTTCAAAGTACAGGAATTATAATATGTATAACCATACGTTATAGAAATGTTTTCTCCATTATACATTTTTTTGTCGGTCACTATGCTGCTCACTCTTCTGCTATTAATTAATGCTTTTTGAGTTTTATTCATGAGGGAAATATTAGTCTTGGCTAGGTATAATTATGCTGTGTTATAGATTTAAAAAAACATCTGCATTACAAATGTAGTGGGCAGCTCGACAACGCGTTTCCATGTATTTGACTTACATAACATGCAACATCAAAATAACATAAATGCCAAATCTTCAAGTTAACACTGGAAATGAGACAGCAGCTTCTTTATGGCGTAAAATTACAAACTCCTCCTTCTGTTTCTTATTTTAAAACAGGTTTCAAAAACAGTTAAGTCCAGAATTCATCTGAAGCATGGCGACAATGATCGTTTTATTATTCTTAAAGGTATTGAGATATCTTGACATATGAGGTAGTTTCTGATATTTGAGGTAGATTATCGATCTGATGATCTTTTCATTGTGTTCCTTTGCCTTGCTGCTGGAGGTCCTCTCATGTCTTCTTCTTCTTCCTAAAAGTGAAACATGACAGTTAAATGCAATTTTAATATTTCTATAGAGCTATACAATAAATCCAGAATTGCAAACAAGGGAATTAGAATATATTTTTGAAATAATAAGGTTTTGAAAACCTGTAACGCGGCTTTCAGCAGGTCCTGAGAAGGCAGTAGGCAGACTGCTTCACCCAGGAAACTGAAGAGGACGTGGAGGACATCAGACCAGTTGCCCATTGTCAACATGAGCACCAGTAAGGCTCCCAGTCTCAGCACGACGGTGTGTAGCATTGCCTCAGTGCCAGTCTGCCGCCGCTGATCCTCTGTGCAAAATGCAAAACAAAACGTTACACAATAACGATAAAAGATTGTCGTTTTCTGTTGTGCTTTTCATATCATTTGTATTGTTTGCCTCATGTGTCCTGTTTTTCATGGCCTCATTTTATATTGATTGTTTTATTGTTCTCCTTTCTTGTTATTTTCATTTGTCTATTTACCTGAGGTAAAGTTTGATAAAGCTATTAATGTTTTTCCCTCTCGAAGTCCCTCTAAAACACCATCTCCGTTGCCTGTATAGTTGGCCCTTCATCACCTTGAATGTAGACAACCAACAGGGTGTAGCAGAGTGTCAATGGAGTCCAAAACTTTAGAGCATCTTTCTGGGACAGGAAGTGGTCATAAACGGTAGAAGTGGACGCCACGCTCGCTATTGCAAAGGCCAAGACAACCGCTCTTTGTACTGAAGCCAATATGGTGTGTCCAGAGGCCAGGAGGGTGCTGCACTTCCCACAGTAACCCTCTTTGCTATGTAGCGGGTAGAGTCTGGCCACATGGCTCCACAAACTGCGGCAGGCACTGGCCAGTGCCCAGCTGAGAGCAGCTGCCAGAAACAAGCTGAGGGAGCTGTGTGGAGCCCCCTGATGGAGGAAGTGCAGGGTACAGGTGAGGGCGCATCCCAGGGAGAACTGGCACTGGGTCAGGAGCAGGTCCAGGCCTCTGCTTCGGGCATCCTTAGACCACGTAGATGAGAAGAGTGTGGGGAAAAATAACATCAGTGTAGAAATGGGTATGTGTCAAAGACAAGGATACGCAGCGATAGTACGCCGTGCATGAAACACGTTTAAGTCTATTAGTTTCCATCTGCTGTGTTTACGCAGCTCACCAGGCCTGCTGATGCCCACGCAGAAACGGCTCTGAGAGAAAACTCCAGGACTATGAGAGAGGAGACCCTCGAGCCCACCAGAGACAGGAGGACCGTCAGAAACCAGAACTGAAGAGCTTTTATACAGTTCCTTCTCAGAAGATTGCCAAGTGAGAATAAACTCGGTTTGCTTTCAGTTTTAGTCTCAGAATCCCTGTGTAGAGGGGAAAATCCGACAATGAGTATGAGTAGTGCACTTATATACATTATTACAATTGCGTCCCTTTTAATGGAATAAACTCACCTGCATGTTTCAATAAGGTTGTAAACTCTTATCAAATTGCACAGCACCGATATTCCACATGCACCCACGAGCCCTTTGAAGCATAAAAAAACAGCAAATACACGTTTGCAAAGAAGCTACTTTAGATTTTTTGCTATTGTCATGAAAAAAAACATATAGTCAACTCACCTCGAAAAAAACAGTCTATTGAGTTTGAATCTATAAATTTCCATTCAAAAATTCCCCAGCTCCAGGGGAAGGACAAAAACATGTTTGTTTTTCCAGGTAATATCTCAAGAAGCACACAGAAAAATGCTATGATCTCTTGCTCATGCTTCTTCAATCCAAGAAGCTGATTAGAAGCTAAAAGGCAGTTAATGTTGAATTTTTGTAAACCCAACTGTTGTCTTTAGGTCAGAGTGGGCTTTGTGTTTCGGGTCCAAGGGTCAATTGGGATAAGAGTGGTTGGCAGTCTAATCACCTCCCAATGAATGAAGACGCTTCTCTAAAACAGAGCAATCCATCACCGTATAAATGGCTTCAAATAAAAGAGATCAGATCTTAGATATCGTGCATATAACATGCAACACTTGTGTCCAAGAAAATACAAAACCACATCCACTTTATGCTTTTCATACAAAAAGAAACTCTTTATTATTATTATTGTCATCATCATACGTTGATGTTCATATGGTTGACGTCCCTGTAGGTAAAATTTCTGTAGATAAAACCTCAATTTCAAAATGTGAATAAAAACAGAATCTTTCCTTTACATTTAACATACAAGGCATCTAGAATGATGTGTTAACTTGCGACCGCGGCCATACTGGGCTCTAAACAACACAAAGCTTATGTTTGATAGTACACCTTTTTCTTGATCTCATCGGGACTCCACACAAGCACACGGGTCTCACTTCCCTCACTTTGTCACTGCAGACAAAGCCCATGAAAGTGACATCATCCCTTTAAACAGCAGAGAAAAATGTTTGTGCAACATTTGAGTGATTCTCACTTAAAGCAACAGTTCGACATTTTGGGAAATATGCTTATTTTCTATAGAGCAATACAATGAAGCACCTTTATCAAAATGTCAAACATTAGCTTTAAATTTGCACACATTCCAGTCAATCATGTGCCAGATGATTGGGAGGTTTTATCTCCTTGCTCTGGTTGTCCTTTAGGCTGTGTTGCCTCATCATATCCCAGAACAGCATGCTGAGCATAGTGTGTGGGGCCAAGCGCAGGAAGACAGGGCCCATGCCTTTATAAAACCCCAGCACGCCCTCGGATTGGCACACCTTCAGCATACAGTCTGAAAATCCCTGATACAGTCGCCCCTAAAAAGTAGTAAGTAAGATGTGGTTAATGTGTTCTTCCATTATTATTTATAAGCAACGACTGTTGCGATGAAAAGAGGTCACCTAAAACTCACCCTGCGAAACTCGTCCACAGGCTGATTGTAGAGCCGCGTACTAATGACGTCGAACGGGGTCATGCTGATCGCCACGGCGACTCCGCTGATCGTGGCTGCTATCAAAGCTATGAGCCAGCTGTTTGGACTGAACCACTGAACCAAGAGGAGCGATGAAGTCATTACGGGCGTGACAGCAACTGTTTGGGTACATGTGCTGTAAAAACGTCAGCTGTTCATCACATATACCTACCTGGGTATGTGACACCCATTCCTTCGCCGATGTGAAGGTTGCCAGTTGAGCAGCTGATCCCACCATGACTCGAGGCACGGCCCCGTTCACTCCCCTCCAGAGGCCAATCACACCGTCTCTTCTATAGATGGTAACAAAGGCATCAAAGACTCCCTGAAATTAAGGAAAAAACAAAAGGCATCGGTGGGCTGGAAGTAGCAGGAAAAAAGCATCTATTATGTGGTGGTGGTAAATAGTTATGGAAATGGATTTGCTCTTTTTTTCTTGCATATCACTTCATACCAGTTCATATACTAAATTATATGCAAACATTAAGTGGCATCGGTTCAAACTTTTAACACCAAAATGTAGTATCCATCAATGGTGGAATGTAATCTAATTTAATCAAGTGCAGTGTTTCCACACCCATCTAATCCTGAAACAAGGTCTAATCAGATAGCGACTGAAAGCACTGTGAACTTTCAGATATCGCTCCAACATAGTGGACCGCATAAATAAATATCTAAATGTTTACTTTAAATTGATCAGCAGAGTCACATCAAAAACATATTTATGATACATATTTATGATGCATTACTGCAATACATTAAGACCATTTTTCCGGCAAGACATACCTACTTTTACCCTAAACTTTGAATAAATGTCTTATATTGAATATAAGCATAATTGCTGAGACATAATCCCACATAAAACAACAGACGGTGTATTCTTGTGTCTTACTTTGAACATGTCGGTCTTACCAGGTGGTTATGCTGGTGGCCTACAGCTATGGCTTCCACGGTCTGGGCCTGCAGGTGGGTCTTCACCTATGAAGGAAGCACACAAGGGTGTAATGCGTATTCAGACTGAACTAGATACTGTGACAAAAATCGGCACGGACAGACCAGACTTCAGACATCAGCCAGACTCAGTGACAACTAAGTTGGCTGATGTCTGAGTCAGATGCCAGAATGAGTTGAGCAACAGGTACAGGTAACTCTACCAACGCGTATCGAGTGCGCGTCACATACAGCACGCACCTTTCTTTACAAATTCCTCAGTGATTCATTCGCACCGAACCCTAAAGATCAAACAGCAGTCACGGCAAGCTCAAAAACAAGAAGTCTCTCCACTTTATCTCATGAACAGTCCATAAAATAACCTTCAGTTAACCTTCCTTTTCTTCACTCACTGCCAACCGCAAGGGGCCAGAAGGGACTGTATATTTTGGTACATTCAGGTTGAAGCAAAGTCCATGATTATATTTAGAGAAAGAGACAAACATGTTGTAAAGCGATATTCTCTTTCCATGACGGTGCACAATGTTAGAGATGGTTTTATGTGACAGCTGAACCTCTCGCATTAGAACATTCACATCTTGTGTTGTAAAGTCAGGTTGAGATCAGATTGTTTGAGTTCAGGAAGTAGATTAGACACAGTAACCACACACACCCCTGTAATGTCACTTGCCAAACCAGTCCTCGTACTAGATTTTAAAATAGACGTTAGACAGAGGTTTTGCAATGTCATGTTTGAATGCGAGTTTTCCAATTTCCATTCTTTTAATTCATTAAAAACGTGTCATACCCCTCATTTATTTCACACAGTTAGAAGGTTGAAGATGAAGGGTAGAAGGTACCCTTTATAATACCTTTTAGTAGCTCAAAGGAGTCATTGCTAAAGAATAGGTTCACATGTTCTGGTTGTTGTAGTTTTTCATCTTGTCCACACAATCGGAGGCAATTTGAAATGCAGAAATCAAATGAGCATCTTCAAAATCTGCTGTCTTTTTACATCAAACAGAAGTCGTTTCAGTGTTCATGTGGATACGCGAGTGAGTGAGAGAATGTTATGTGCATAGATTATATAGTATCTCCAGTAGTGACCGATATGAACTATGAACACCTCTTGTTTTACAATGTGGGCGTAGTATGTGAATCAACAATGTGATCCAATGTTAAACGAGTCTGTTTACTGAGATGATGTATGTAGTACGTTTCACAGACATTTAGACCCACCAGGTCCAAACATGTTCTGACTTTCGGCCGTAGTTGGAGAACGCCGGGATGGTTTATTCATTTGGGAGATTTGTTCTAAATTAAAGAAATAAAAGAAATAAAAGAAAAACATATATTTTTAATTTGTATTTTTAATATGTCTTTTGGACATATTTCTTTGTTATTTACAGTAACTGCCCATGGTATAATTTTAACTACAAATAATTTATAACACTGATTAAATGTACAAAGAAAACCCAAAGAGCTGATCAACAATCAACTTCATTCCAGCATTTTTTAAAGTCTGAAGAGGGTAAACATAATTTATACTATAATGTCAACTGCTCACAACTCATGCACCCTTTGACGGGAGGACAAAAGCAAAGAACAAATAGAAACGGGGAGCCATCTGCAATAGACGAGACAATAAAAGCAGTTGCTTAAGTAAACTTGCCAGGTATGCAGGAGAGGCGATGAAGGCACCCACCGCTCCGGCCCCGGCTCCTGACAGCAGGCTGCCCCCGTGGAACGAGGTGATGCCCAGAGCTTCGCAGTAGGAGTAGGAGCCCAGCCTCACCCCGTTCATCACCCCCTGGTACATCAGGCCCACGGAGAGGCCCTTCTGCAGGCCCCGGAGCCCGTCGGTGCGACCCACCACCCACAGTGCCTGCAGGACCCCCCGGTAGTGTCTCTGGTAGGACCCCCGTGCACGCAGCTCTCCCTGAAGCTGCAGACGGGTCTTTATCACCTCCAGGGGATTGGTGAACACGCAGGCAGCACAGCAGGCCAGAGCACCCAGGGCAAAGTCCAGAGGGGGCCAGACAGCTGTGGGGGGCGTTGAGGGTCCCAGGACGCTGCGGGGCACAGCGGACACGTCGGACGCCATCCCGCGGGAATGCTGGGCACCGAAGACAAGCTCTTCTGGAGGAGTTTCCAGCAGCTGAGTACTGGTCATCCCTGGGGAGTGTGTGTGTGTGTGTGTTGTCGGTTCCTGTAATCACTGGTGCAGCTTTTTCAGTTTGTCGGGGAACAGAGAGAGTTTGCTGCACTTGGTGCAAAAGAATGACCAGGAACAAATTCTATAGGTTTTTGTGAGAACTCATTTTCGATGTCTTTTGCATTATTCTCCCGGGACACTGACCACAGGTCAACGTGCATGATAAGTGTCCTTTTGCGGGGACTTTCTCAGGGAGCTTCCTTGTCCGTCTGCATCATCTGCAAGAGAATGTATCCATGTAAACAATACATTAATTATGAGGTTCAGGTACATTACATAAGGCTCAGCGTTACACCTGAGGGCAAAGTGCTTGTGTGTCATGAGGAAGACAGTTGTAATTTAAACCTTTAGCTCACATGACATATAACTTGTACCTTACACCTGATAAACCAGAGAATCATTAAAAGCAGACACAGGATCACCAGAATGAAACGACCCACACGCCACTCAAATTCATTGAAACCAGCACACAACCAGTCATGACCTATCAGGGGGAAAAAACAATTGATTAGAACTCCTCTCACGTGCCTTCTGAGGAATAATTTAAAAAAAGAACTCTTGAATTTGGTGACTTAATTCAAAAAACTCTCAGTGATCCAGTGCAGCTCCATACTTCCTCTCTGCCCATCATTGTAAACATGTGTCCTCAGCACATTCATTGTCAGAGTCTCCGCCCACCGTTCCTCACCACAGCCAATAAGGGCTCAGTCCTGTCCGCCACATCACCACCATTGCCTCGAGTGTGCACCAATCAGATGGCTGTGATCCACACTGCCCCTGTCGCGTTCAATTGGAGCTCTCTGGGTAAAAGGTTGTTGTTGATGTGGGGGGAGAGAAGAGTGTGTCGAAGAATGAGTTGAGAACTCATGCTGTCTAAACAAGGTTAATCCGATGAAGAGAGCAGATGATCTCAAAAATCTGTGCTGTATTCCCTCTGCACCACATGAATGTATCAATTATATTCCTACATGAAAGACATTTGTTTTGGAGGTAATTTTGAGCGTAAACATGAGCGAACGGGGAAAAGATTAAGTTGTTATTTTGAAAAATCAACACACGTCTCGAAGCATTCTTTGCGAAGAGGGTTATCTCTAAAATACATTTGGAACACATGTTGCTTACTGAAATAACTCCGTGTGCCTTCTTTACGTGCTGTACGCAACGGAGCCAGTAGGGGGCGCGCTTTACAGCAAACACGAATAAACTACTTAAGAGTTCACTCCCAAAGCATCGGAGTGAATAAATGCAGGAACTGTTCAGTTAACTGAGGATGAAGAATTGTTTTCTAAAATAGTTTTACTACATGCAATTGATTGCTTGTAATGTCAGTGTTATTAGATTTCAGTTGCTCATTGGAATTCAAATAATTACTTCCACTGTTCTCAACAACTGGTTGCCAGATGATATAGAAAGTCAGAGCTTAAAAAAAAGAGGAAGAATTCACCAATATCTATGAAAACCTAAAAAGATTGCGTGAGTTGAAACAAAACAGTCACCAAAACAGCAGAAACATTTAACAAACACAAAGCAGGATTATTAACAGTGACCAAGCAGACATAGAGGCCTTTATTGTTTAACAATGTTTATAGTACAGTGCCACATCTCTCCCCCACCATGACACACACACACACACGCACACACGCACGCACGCAGTTTTCAATGTAAACATTGCAGGCTTAAAGATTGATACAAAAAGCAAGGTAGTTAATTGCATTCATTATCCCGGAGTTCCTCTATTTTAAGGAAGGCGAACAGAAAAACAGAAGTGTTATGGTTTGGCCGATCACCTGATGGGGAACAACATAATGTCATGTTTTCTCTAATCACTGCAGTCTCACTCACACATATACACACACAGGATTCTCATTCAACCAAATATTATTTATCAAAGTGTAGTTAAAGTGGTGTATTTTTGTTTAATTAGGCAGAAGGGAGAATAGTGAATTTATCAAGTGGAACATCTAATAATGATTATGTTGTTTTTCCATAATCCTCTTTATAGGAAAAAGGCATTGTGTGTCAATTCCCTCGTGTAGTGACAGGGTGGAGGGTCTTTCTTCCAGGTTCCGCCCGGAGCTGCACTACCTTTTAGCCCGTACGAAGTACAAGGCGTTGGTTTTAGGGTAGTACTTAACATTCTGTTTCTTGTCCATTAGGCCCCCAAAAATGATGAGCTCCCCCCTTCCCTGCACCACTGTGTGGAGGCTGGTCTCAGGAGGCCCTGTCACTGCAGCGGGACTGCCGCTCCCATAAACTCTCCAGGACACCACCCCGGCCGACTTGGCCCTGGACACGTCCAACACGTACATCTGCATGGGCTTGCAGTTGAGAGACTGGTACAGAGGTTTCCCTACGTTCAGGCTTTGGGGCGGGTGATGGCCGAGGCGCCGTGCGATAGGCGGGATGGCGTGTCCGTCAGCTCCGGCAGCATGTGGAGGGCTGGAGGATGAAGACGGAGGTGTTCCGGGGGGACCCGCTCCACTGCTACCACCACTTGCTCCTCCAGGAGATGCCCCCTGTGTCTGAGGGGAAGGCGATGACGATGATGAAGAAGACGGTATAGATGAGGACGATTTGTTCTTCACTGCCTCCAGACCTTGTCGTAAGGCAGCGGGGGACACTGCTCCCGGGGGGGTGAGTGGGGAGCTTGCAGGAGGTGTATGCAGGCCATTGGTGCTGGGCACCTCAGGGTGGTGAACGGCAGAAGGGGGAGAGTCCCAGCCATAGTCTGTGGAGGCAGGTGGGAGAGGGCGAGAGGAGGGAGATGCGTCCTGTGCCGGACTGGTCCTTGGTGAAGGGGAGGATCCATTTAATAACGTGGCCAGTGGAGGAAGAGGAGGGCTGTCTGGGCCCTGTGAAGGAGACGGCTGCTGGGGAGAGGATGGGCTGCCTTCTCTGGCACTTCCTCTCGCTGACGGCCGAGGTCTCAGCGTGCCCCATCGGCCGTTTACACAAGGAGCCTCTTCGACGGCTCCCAGTACGACACCGGCAGCGCCGCTCCGAACAGGAGACTGGGAGCGCAGAGAAGGCGGTTCTGCGCCCAGAGAGGCAGGTGTGGCACTTATTGGGGAGGGCCGGGAGTTAAGACTCGGGCTGAGCGGAGCACGGCCGGATGGGGCCTGTGAGAAAACCACCACACACTGGCCCACCTTGAGGTAGATGAGAAGAACAGTGACATAGTGATCAGTCTTATGCTTAGGCACAAAAATATGCAGTATAGGATTTAAAACTAAGCCAGACACTTACCCTACAGGCTGGGTGACACCACAGCTCCGGGGCCCCATGGTCCTCGTTTTCCACCTGCAGCTGCTGCCACCTCCATGGGGGTGTAACCATGTGGAGGAGCCAAGCATCTTTAAGGAGCTTTAACACACAAGAAGACAGGATAAGTCAAAGCTGTAGTAACATATAGCCACTTGGAAATGTATTACATGATACAGATGTGCTGTTCTGATACTAGAGAAAATAAACTTACAGCATTAGGACCGCCACAGCCTCCCAAGATGAGCAAAGTCTGATCATCGATGACAATCTAAAAAGAAAATGTAAAACCTTGTCATTTCGTAAAAATATTTAAGAGGAGGCACGTCATTCAGGGGAAGAAATATCTACAGAAAGAAAAGCCGTCTTCAAGGGTCAAAACTCAAGCAAAAGTTTAAATAAGCAATAATAGCAGGAGGAATGGTTACTTTTACTTACTTGTGATTGGCCTCCCCGCGGGTGGGGTGACGGGCCGGATATGGGAGGTTTGGACCAGGACCACTGTTCCAGGTCCAGAATCCAGACTTCATTACTCCTGATTAGAACCACCAGAGGCGACAATATCACGGTGAGACTCGAAAGGCAAATATTTCATTTATTTGTATTTACAATTATATTAAAAATACACTATTAACTTAGTTTAAGGCTTAAAGCTTGAATGTGTACAGTGTTTTTACTGAAATACCACTATATCCATATAAATGGTGTAGTGTGGTCGAGGATTCGTTTTTCAGAAATGTTGATCCGCTTTGTCTGAAGCTCCCAGGTACCCGCTCTCTGTTTTACCCCAATAACCAGCTGTTGTTTACTGAAAGCGATGTAACTTTATCACCCTAAAGATCCTATATGCAGTCGGCCCAGCTCAGATAATTGGTACACAAACACAAGTAATACACTCATACATTTGCCGTGCTCCTAGTGACCCCCCAAACACCACCATGGTGTTTCCAATCACAGAGGAAGAGTGGCCAGCCATTGGTGGAGGTCCATGTGTTGTTACTATACAGTTCCACCTGAGAACACAAAAAGGGAGGAAATGACGACCGAAAGTTACTAGTCAGTCACTTGTCACAACTGCATCCTTAAAGTCCCAGTACTTAAGTCTCTCTCACCAGTTCTTTGAAGGAGAGTAGGTGTGGATTTCATCAAAAAACCTTTCTGGTTGGTGCAGTGGATATGGGCTGGGGCGAGTCCATCCCCCAAACAGCACTAACAGATCTTTGTGCATCACAAGCGTCGCCCCGGCTTTAGGAGATGGATAAGAGCCTGGAAGAGAAAAGAATGATTGGATGCAGATTGTAGCAGCATATGCCTGATGTTGTATACATATGTAAATGAATAGTCTAATAAATAGATACATCAAGAAATATGTTAGTGGAGAGAAAAGAAAAGTTTCAGCGAACCACTTAGAGATAACCATCGTAATGTCATAAGTGAAAATGGCTTAACAGAAATGCGGTAAAACGACTATTTGCCAACCTTCAAGTGACGAAAAATGATAATTGATTTTATGAGGTATTAGGTCAGAACTCACAGAAGACAACCCACAGAAAATGCTTTTTACACAAGGTAAAATTAGCTTTAAATTTTGCAGGAATAATGCACTCAAGTACAAATAATTGTACAACAATTTCATCTCTTTTTATTCCCACTTCTTCAAATACTTTGTGCTCAGCGCTTCTGAGCAACTGAAGTAGTTTGACATCCCACAATTCCTCTTATATAATTTCTTACCAGACCAGATGTAAACCACTCGTACCTGAGGCCAGAGGTCGGATCCACTCCTTGCTGTTGAGGTCGAGTCTCCACAGATCATTGAAGGCAGCATTGCAGCTACTCTGGGTGCAGCCCCCGAATACATACATGGACTGGTTTGAGTCATAGTAACATGCACCTGCAACCCAAACAAAGAACAATTAAACTTTATCGCAAATGTTGAATGCCTTTTTTTTGCTTATGTGCCAAAAAGTGTAAAACTAGCGTGTAGCCTTTCTAATGGGGCAAATGGAAGACGGATTGAAATCTTTGTAAATAGTTCTGTACAGTAGATTTTCCTAATAATTTACAATAGAATTGTGTGCCTCTGTCACCCTAAATCCTAGTTGTTGTTGGAATCCATCAGATAACAAAATGGTTGTTTGCTTTCATTAATCATTAACTTTGCACAATGCAGAACACATTATAATGCTTCACACTTGACTCGTGATCTGATCCGGGATATTCCCACAGCTATTTGGGGAAATTTGCAAATTGATTGTTTTTTTATCTTGTGATCAAAAACTAAACCAGCGTGATCAGCACTGAAACATTTTCGAATTAATAACCAGAAGTTACGTATTTTTTAATTCTGGGAAAGGGTGTCTACTGTAACTAAATTGTGTTATAAAAGCAATGTATACTGACTGTGTGAGAAGCGCTGGGTGATCGGTGTTCCTGGATATGGGTATGTACGACTTTCCCACTGGATATTTCCCTCCTGGACAGCTCTCAAGAAACCGTGGTAGCACTGATAAGCAACACCTAGTCGAGATAAAATATTGGTAAAAATCAGTAATAAAAAACAGTGGACAGAGAGTTTTTAAAATGTTAAATGCATTATCAACCGTTGCCTCTCCATTTCACTGCTCTGCTGAGTAGTGTAATAATTAAGATTCAGTTTCATACAAGGCTATGTAAGTATGAGGCATACCTTTAATGAGCCGATACCACTGCTTACACACAAGCGCAGCCGTCTTGTGCTCCTGGTAAGGTGAGAGAAAGGACAGAATATATTCAAGAACTTCCTCTGGCAACTCCTCCATTGTTCTCCTCCCTCCTTTGGCACCAATGTCCATGTTCCCATCTTGTCGGCAGGACCCCATGTTTGCCTCTTCCTCTTCTGTTATCCCAGCAGTGTCCGCACCATCGTCCTCTGTATCCATGGCAACAAAGCATCCATCCTCATTATCATGGGAGCGGGACATTATAGTCTGTTGAGACATTGGGAGACAGGCAAGTAATATATCTTCAGGATCAGGAGGATGTTTTTCTCCAGATGCAATTAACAACACTTTAAAAAGTGATAAATTCTTAATTGATTCTATAAGACACTGTTAAACAAAGACTAACCAACCTCAACCCTGCCTTATTTGATTCTTATTGGATTTCTGCAAATAAAATGAATTGAGGATACATATAGGATACATATTAGATTGAGTAATTTAGTTCTCAGCAATCTTAGTGGTCACATATATTGTCTGAAGCGAGTGGTGCCCTTTCGACTAGAATGTCCCTTGATTTAGCACGTCCCCCTTATCTCGTTAGCTAACGTTACATCTAACTAACGTTAGCCATCACATACCTAAGAAAATGTTGCTTTGCTAATGCTTAATAATACGTTGCTATGAAAATAATATATTGAACTCAAAATTAACTAAGCAAGGGATGGCTGCTGCTACAAGTCACGGACCAACCAGCATAAACATGCTGTTGGATATAACGTTCGCTCCTTAGAGCATATATGCTAGCACTCGCTAACGCTAGCTAACTGATCATGAGCATCCAAGCTAAATTTAGCTAACATTAACGAATCTCTAACTAACGACATAATATTACAGCAACATCGTACGTGTTTTGTTAAAATATGTTACTGATTGACAAAATATGGGAACACCAAACTTCTTAAGTATGAAAAGGTAGCGAGAACCGTACATGGCAACGGTCCCTTCTAGCGTTCCACCCAACCAGCTAGCTAGCTTGCTGCTATCTTCAGTCTCAGCTGCTGCTAATAATCTATGGTACCGTTAGCATGAGCAGAAAATTAACTAGCTTCTCTAACGTCAGATAAATGTTGTCAATGCTGCTCCTTAACTGTCGCAGCATTATTAATACCGTTGTGGTAGCCGGCGTCTGTTACGGGATCTGAGTATGTATATCTCCTCTCCTTCAACTCCCGATATCAGCTCCGGAGGTTCCTCTGCAGCCTCCCAACAGTCGCCATCTTCAACTCTGTGAACAGCGTCCTCCGCAGCACAGCGACGACGTTGCAGCATCTGTGGGTGGAGCCTCTGTAGCGAACGCTGCGCCCCCGGCTGTGGAATAACCGCTTCATCATGACCCAATCTCAACATGGAGCAAAGAAAGAAAAAATAAGAATCTATGTTGTTTGTTTTAGGAGCTGCATCTCATAGATTTGAATATGTAGTCAAATGGGCTTAGCATTTAACACTCATGTAACGCCATACTCCTATGCTTGCCAGCTAACGTTTATGGTTCCTCACATACGTTTTTGACATGCCACGTACCAAGTTGTTGAAATAAAAATCTATGAGCTCTACACACAATACTGGTTTATTTGTTGTTGGACAATGAAAAACAGTATATTGTTGTTTTCTAAAATCGTGTGCAAATGTCTAAAAACATATACAAAAATAATAATATACTAATATAAAGGACTCACAAATGAATGTCCGAAATCCTTTATTACTAGTCTATGCAGCCTTTCAAATAGCGGATAGTATATATTTTATTCATAGAAAGTATCAAAAAACATGACAATTATCTGACCAAAAAATTGTCATGGTTTTTGATACTTTCTAACTTTTTACATCTCATGTACAAGAGATCTTAACTTTGTCCAAAAGGGAAAACAACAACCATTAGTACCGCAATTTTGACATTTGTGAGGCAGGCAAAGCGTTACATCTGCATTTATTTCCAAACCATTTTGTTTTTTAGGTTTAAACAACCAACACTGTTTAGGGGTGTTTTCTTATCTAGTGATAGCAGAAAACTATTAACAATTAAACAGCGAAATCCAATTATTTTTCAAACCATAAATGTAGTTTTTTAAATGGTCTTATTTTTTTTTTACAAATGTATTTGTTTAAGAGAGCATTTTTAACAAATAATGAATAACCAAGTTCAATTGGATGTGCCTTAAGATGACAGAAAAACAGTCTTCTGTCGCAATGTGTCACAATAACGCACATCATTTTCTATACATTGCACACGTGAGCTTTGCACGTTTCTTCGACATTACTTTTAAGATTCATGTAAAAAATATTAACTTTCATTGTTCAACAGAAATATTGTACATATATCAATTCATTCTTATCGTAGTTATGCCTCTTGATTGTTGGTTTGTGTTTTTATTTTATGTATGTGTTATTTTCTCTAAATGTTTTTGAAAGCACCAAACGCCATGGAAAAAACATGTTAGAACCTACTTGATCTGATCTGATGCTGCATTCAGGTCCCAACCGTTTATTTCCCAATTTTAAATTACAAGTAGTTGTAACTATAGACTTTATTTAAGTCTTGTTACTAATGTATTTTGATAATCCCGTCTAAATAGAAGCTTAATATCCCAGATCAATTATAATCATATTAATATTTTGTAAACAATACGAATTTGCATTACCATTTACCTTTATGTATTTTTGTTCAATGACACCGGGGTGTTACTGCCAGTTCCTCGGACAAGACATGAACGCAGCACTTCACCTCAACACTGCTATGATGAACAGAAACAGAGTCCGCCAACACTCGGAGCTATAATTAGTCCAATATTCATCAAAAACAAGAACCCTGTGGTGGAGTAAGCCTATATCTCGCCATTTAGTGGCAAACATTAATCGTTAGGAAGTTACATTAGTTTAGCTAGATCTCAACGACTTAATCTCACCCGGCTAGTTACCGTGATAGAAGATAGCAAGTTGACGCCAGCTAAGCTAACGTAAAATTAAACGGTTAAGCTCAATTTTAGGGGCACCGATTAACGTCAAAGGTTAAATCCTAGCTGACTGTCAACTATCCAGAACTACTGTGTACACTGAGTATTTCCGTCTGAGTGGCGTGTGGACTACACTGTTGAACGGTTGATTTAATTGAGTAACCCAAGTGGAAGTTACGCCAAATGTATAGTAGCAGGTAGCTAGCTAACACCAGGGAAGCGTTAAGCTAGCACGCGGCAAAGCGACGGTTTAAGGATTTCTTTATCGGACTTCATCCGTCGCAAATACCAGTGAGGTTGAGCTCTTTGCGGGATTACGTGAAATTCGGTGCACTTTCCCATGCCCTGCGTGTGGCTGGGAGGTAGCTAGCCGGTGGGGCCGAGGAGGTAACAACCAGCAGTCCTGTTAAACATGGAGGATGAAGAGGTCGCAGAGAGCTGGGAAGAGGCAGCGGACAGCGGGGTAAGAATCTACTAACATTGGGCAATTGCTGTTATTATTTTAACAAGAGTTCTATCTTGATTTTAGTTTGCCCGCCAGCCACTCACCTGGCTGATGCAAACACTTTATTTATTTCGGCTTGTTTATTCATTCAATACATTCCCTACTGAGTCTTGCAGGCCTCGCTGCCCCTAAACGACCGAACGTGGCTTAACGTCGTTTAATTTAGCCAACAAAATACTTTAATGATGTAAAAATATCCACAAAAAATAATGAATGTTTTCAGAGTCGACTTTTCCCAATATTTCTAGATTTCTAGATAGATTATTCAGACCCGCCCATTGCAGAAATGACCGTTTGCATTGAAACACTACAATAACATAGCCGTCTAGTATGTCCGGGACGTTTTATAATACTATTCAGAATGTGAGCAAATAACCCTAGATATTGAAGCGTTTACTGTGTGGGCAGATGAAATCAGTTTGTTTTGTTGGTGGCAAACTGTAAACATTTGTATCAACACTGCTTTCCCTGTAATCCTGTTTAGCAAACCTGTGCAACCTACCCACTGTAATCAAATTAGCTGATAACGCATTTCTATGTAACTGATGTGACTGCTTACAATGTTATTATTGTTATTGTACTGAATTTGTTTGACATTATGCCAAATGCAATAACCATGCTCTTCCTTTTTTCTCAGGAAATAGAGAGAAGACTTGAGGCTAAACTGAAAATAAATCAGGAAGCAAAGTGAGCTAAGAGAAAATTAATCCCAAATTTGAATACACTATAAGAATGCATTATTTCCCTGGTATTTGTATTCCTCGCCACTCCTGTTTTTACTTACAGGAAGTCCAGCTTGGGTTCGGGTTGCTCACCTGTTCAAACTGCGATTGTAATCCAGGATGACACTCTGCCTGCAGCACCCCCACCACAAATTCGAATCTTGAAACGTCCCTCAAATAACGGTACTGCAGGAAACCTTGCATCCTCGACTCGTCCCTCTCAGCAGATGAAGTCTTTGGCCCAGCGGGAGGCAGAGTACGCAGAAGCCCGAAGGAGGATCTTGGGTAGTGCATCTTCAGATGATGCGCCTCAGGACAATCCTTCCCAGGAAACGTAAGCCTTTACAACAAACAAGAACCACAATGAATTTACAAAGTACTTAGAAACATCTACACGGGGGAAAACACAGATATTAATTCATTCTCATTTCTCCTCATATAAGTAGGCCAGCTCGCATGCAGCAACCATTGGAACCAGTTCCACTAAACAATAATGTGATCCGCCAGCCCACTGGCCCAGATGGCACCTCAGGCTTCAGACTCTGCAGATAAAGAGGAGCTACGTGCTGCAAGGAATCCGCTTTCTCCCTGAGAGGGCATAAAGGGTGACAGGCCAAGGGGTTATGTGTGGTATGAAGAGCAGAGTGGTGGGATGACACACAATTCGACAAACATTAGAAATATGAAGACATAGCATGGACTGAAATGAACTCCTCCACCCTCTCTACTCTGCTTTGTGGCATGGTCTTTGCGTTTCACCTTGCCTTTTCCTTCTGTGGAATGTGCAAGGGGCTGGCACAGATCAGTTTAAGATCTAAAACCCTTTCTGTTCCACAGCGTGAACAGGCTTTTGCCTCACATCCCTAGACACTGTGATACTCTGATGTTTCATGAGGTGCCCTGTGATTTTAGGTAAGATTGGCCGGCCGAGTGCCAGGGCCTCAGGTGCCCGTCTCTTCAGGGTGAATAAGGGAAGCTCATGAATCTGTGGGATTTCCCCTAAGAGGTGCAAGCGAAGGAGCTGGCCGGTCCACCGTCGGAGTGTGGATCGTGGCTGGGTGTCCACCGGGTCACTGGTCTCAGTTTTTGGGGGTTCCGTGGAACGCAAGTGTTTGGCAGTGCTGAGAGTTTGACGTTTGTGTTCAGCAGCTTGAGCGAAAGCTGATAAACGTTCAAACTGACCCAGCACTTTGGGTAAAGGTGTGTTTTTCTACTGTAGTTGCATAGCAATGGCAGAACAGCATTTCCTACAGTCCTCGGGTGGCTATTAAAGAAAGGCCCGGTGGCCACACAGCCTTTGGCCAAAGATTATAGATTGTATGGTCGGAATGTCACTAAATCTTAAGTTTATTCAAGCAATAAAGATGAAGTCACTCCCTGAATAATTTTTTACATATTGCCTATTAACCTGTGCTGACAATGTTTCTTATGTTTGTATTTTTTTCCAAAGGATAGTAAGTTTAAGTCAGAAGATCATTCGTGTGTCAGAGGTTAGATGACATAGCCTGCATACAAACTGTATTAGTAGACATTTTAAATTAGATCAAAGTGGTTAACATACAAACCGCCATAAATCGAAAATCTTAAGTTATCGTGCATATGTGTCCGTGTGTTTTGCCGTGCTCAATTAGAACATCAAACTACTGCATTGATTTAGATGAGAGGACTTTGATCTGTTCAAGTGTGTCTGACTGATGATGTGGAGCATTATTGGGTTATGTTTTAGTCTTCAGAAAAAAGTATTTGATGCTCATTCTACCAGATGACAGTCACAAGACACTGAGTGTCTGAAGAATTTCTTTCAAACTAGAAAAAAATGATAAAGATATTAGAAAGCTCAGTGTCATTTAAAAAGAAGCCGACGCCTTGTTTTGGTGAATGTTTTTCTTGTGTTCTTTTTGCGCCGCAGGATTTCAACGTCATCGTTTGTCATAGATTCAAAATAAAATTTTGCAAACCATGACATCAATCATCTCATGAAATACCGGTAATTACTGCTACCCCTTTGGAGCCCTTTGACACTTGTATGCCTTAAATGACACATTTTCCCTGCTTATATTTGTTCACTTTCCAATGGGTAGTGCTTGTTAGTCTTCAGCTTTTTGTGCACATGTGATAGTTTTATTATCTTGATGAACCCTGTCACTAAGGAACAGTTAATAGTTATAGTGTTAGACAAATACAAAGTCAGTCAAGGTGCAATAATGCTTTTCTTACAGAAAAGTTCATGAGTGCTTAGACCACAGTTTATCCAAATATTTTCCAGTGACAGTAAAACCTTTGATTGGAAATATACACAAGAAAATAATCAATTGTTATAAATTATACAACTTCCCCATGCACAGCAGCAAACTCAACAATATGTCTGCATGTGTGCCACTTAGTCCAACCTCAGTCACTGAAAATGAAAGGAGAAAGTATGGCCTACACTATACTCTGAATATTCTGTTCCCAGGGTTTTGGTTAAATTGTTGAAATAAAATGAGTTATCATTTAAAATGCATAATTGAAAGCAAAACTCATCCTGTATCTATGTGATCTACCCATTGTGCTTCGCTTCTGTCATTCACAGAAGCCTGTCTACGTTATAGCAGATTTGTTGTCATTCTTGTTTTGAAACTTGAAAAATCACAAATGGAATTTGAATACCCTTTAATAAACGTAGTTCAAACTTGGTGTATATCTGTTTTGTATTTCATAAAATCAGATTATTATGAAGAAAGGTGAGGGAATTTAAAACATTACTTAATAGTTATAGGTAATAGCACAATGAGTTAATGTGAAACATTGGAATCTGAGTAGTAGGTTATATTACCCTGCTTTAATAAAGAACATACTTTTTGATTGCGGTCATACACCGGAAAAATAGATAAACAATAGTAAATGAGTATTTTTCAACGAGCTGCACTGCAAAAAAAAGAATTTATGACTAGTATTCTTATAGTGTAGTGTAGCATAGTTTAGTATAGTGGCTGCTCGAATCCTCCTGACCGCACGGGGCGCTGTGTGAAGAGAGCGCTTCATTTTCGCGTCGGGTCGTTTTCTCTCGAATCCAGCCGAGGTGTCCATTGAAAAGTCGGAACTTGTTTGTTTTTTTGGACAAGGGTTGTGAAACCTCGCTGAAACTCGACAAAATGGCAGACGACAACAGTTACGAGTCGATGCTGTGTGTAAAGCCCGAAGTCCACGTCTATCGGATCCCGCCGCGGGCTTCTAACCGCGGATATCGGTAAGAGGAGCTCAACGGGTATTAAAGGCAATAACTGACAAGTCTGACAAGTGTAATGTTACGTCATGAAAGAACTCTAACGTATCTACACCCATTATCGGACAACTACTTACTAGTTTGGATGAGTGCGACTTTTCTCCTTTTTTCCCCGTAAAGTGTGTTCGGCGGTTACAGTCCACACACCCAGTAACAAAACCCATAAGGATTTCGATAAACAGACTTGATGTCAGCTAGCTGAAAACGTTACACATGCTAGCGGAATATCAAAGCGGGAATTCACTACTGTAAAGTGTTACACGCTCCGGTAAATTGGACAACATCATGCAGACTGTCAACAAACAGTTATTTGACTGCGGACATATCAAAAAGTTAACTTTGATATTCAAAGTTATGATAAATTATGACATTCCTGGTGACAAGTCTTGAAAGTTTTTAAAATGGCAGGATCCAGTCCGATAATAGAGGCATGAGTTTATAGTTAATGCTCGCGGCTAACTAGCCAACGTTAAGTGCAATTAATTCACTATATTGTGTGCATTTTCTGCTGAAAATAATATCATAGTAATGTTAATGAAATAGTATCTGACTTATGTTTTTCTCTCATTAAACTGTTTTAATTTCAGTTATTACATTATAATGTACTTCTCATCCATCACTTGGTTCTTTCATCATAAATAGCCTGTCATTTAAGTCCAGCTTTGACTGAATATTATTTATTCAAAACAAAAAAGCCTTAAGCAAGAAGATCCACTTTTTCTTTCACCTTTTTTTTTTTTTTTAGCTTTCCACTCTTTATCTCTTGCTATTCCTTCACAGAGTGGATTTGCTCAAATGTGATGAAAGAAATAAAAACCAGATCAGATGCAGATCTTGATGTTTATTTGTTTCTTAACCTGTTTTCTTGAAGACGTACATTTTAATTACGTATTTAAAGGATCCACAAGTGTCACATTCCTTTAGCTGGCACCACAACTATAAAGGATCACAAATGTCTTTTTTTAGTCTTCCTGATAACTTTTAGTTTCACTTCCTCCTGCTTTTGAAAAGCTGCAGCTGTCTGGGTAGAAACTGTGAACCAGTGAGCCCCTTTCTTATGCTGATGCATGTTTCCTGTTTTTCTAGTGCTGCTGACTGGAAGCTGGATGAACCTGCATGGAGCGGGAGGATGAAAATCACTGCAAAGGGCAAGCTGGCCTACATTAAGTTAGAGGACAAAAACACAGGTAAACAAATCGGCATATACATATATAAGTCACCACACAAATTCTCTTAACATTTCAGAACTAATCTTTTACCTCTGCAAGTAATTGGGCAAGACGACAATAACTAGTCTCTAGTGAGTCTTTCCATGTGCACCAGTGTACCAGTATTAATAGAGCACTGACCATTTAAAGTGAGCCATCAGGTCCTTTCTAAATTTAGGTGCCAATCTGATCAGTGGAGTCCTCGCAAATCTAGCCCTTTAGAGTGAGAGTGCTGTCTAATTAAGTGGAAATATGTTCATTAGCATTCAAGTGCTACCAAAACGGAATTGATTAAAATGTGGTCAACAAGCTAGCGAATACTTTTGTCCTTTGCGACGGATCTTTTTACTTTATTACTCATAGTTCAGTAAATAACCAGAAGGCGCCGTCGGTCTGAATTTCTTCTTTGCAGGAGAGTTGTTTGCCCAAGCTCCAGTCGAACAGTATCCGGGTTGTGTTGTTGAATCAGTCACAGACTCCAGCAGGTACTTTGTGATCCGGATAGAAGATGGCAACGGTAAGAGACCTTATTATCTATCATCATTTAAATTAAATAAATAAAAGGAAAAAACTTGATGACCCAGGCTTTCCGATAAACTACGTTTTTCTTTTTCAAGAATTTCCATTCAGATTGAATTGTGGAACTGAAAACAGTGCGTCATCCCGTCCCTGAACAAGAGATGTTGTGTCTAGTTCCTGCCTGCTTATAAGCTGTGTGATGATTGCGCATCAATTGATCAACATGATATTTAACGTGACATCAAAGTGATTCAGGAGTCTTTATTGACTTGACCTGGTTTTCAGTCATTTTTATCAAGAGAATCACATAAACAATGTTTTTTCGCGATACAGTGGCACCTACTATTGCTATTTAGGACATTTATTTGGTCTTTAAAGTTGCTGTAATGAAATAAAAACTTAAGTTCATATAGTATAAAGTCATTCAATTGATTGTGAAGTTAAAGGTCTTTAGTCACTATACTCTACCTTTTATTGACAATCTTATTTTAGCCATTATGTTCTTTCATATAAGTGATAAAGTACTGCAATGTGCTTTTTCTTTTGATAAAGGACGTCATGCTTTTATCGGTCTTGGATTTGCTGATCGCGGAGACTCGTTTGACTTCAACGTAGCTTTACAAGATCACTTTAAGTAAGTTAATTCCTCTTGTTTTGTCATTTCACTGTCATATGTTATAACAAATGGCCGCATATGATCTGGAAGCTATTCATGAGCACATTTACATGAATATGATTAAATGTGATACTGAGACCAACGTTCATACTTCATGCTTTGTTTAACGGACAACAGACCAGAGTAAAATAGACACAACAAACTTGTTAGATTGTGTTTGCTACAGTATTTGCAAAACAATATCGATGTTTTGTTATCTGTGTCTTGCCACCCAGTTTGAATCTATCCAACGTTTCTTTAGTGATAATTATTATGCTTTCAAACCTTCTAATAAAGGTGGGTGAAGCAAGAAGGTGAGCTCGCAAAACAGGAAGCTTCTGAGAGCACGGCGCCGAAGTTGGACCTCCGCTTCAAAGAGGGGCAGACGATAAAGATCAGCATTGGGGTGAGTCGTTCATGAAAATGATTAAATAACATATGCAACAATGACAGATTATATAAAGCAAACTAATTGAACGATGTCTTCGTTCTACAGCAAAACATCAAGAAGAAGGAAGCAGGTGGTGCCAAATCGCGGCCCATGGCTATGGGTCTACTTCCACCCCCACCCGCTGGAAAGGTTGGAGGTGTAATACCACCTACTGTGGGACAGCCGACAGTCTCCGCTGTACAGACTACCACCGGTGATTCCCCCCCCCCCGCTGTTGTATCCAATCAAATTATTGAAAGATCTTTTGCGGGATATGAACTGTATTAATGCTCTTTTAAAAAATGTTTTTCTCCAGATCCAGCCTCTCTTTTAGACTTCGGGTCCCCCGGCCCTTCAGCCCCACCCAGCGCCGACGTGTGGGGGGATTTCACATCTGCAGGCTCCAAGTAAGTTTTCACAAGCTGTCCCCCCCACTATTTTTGTCTTGACAGTCAACCCATCTTGTCCATCTGTCCCACTTGTTTGCGTTTAATGTTCCTTTAATCGTTTTGGCTTTCTCTTTCATCATCATCATCATCATCATCATCATCACACTAATATCTCCTCACCCCTACTCCCCCACCCTTTCCTCCACAGCTCCAGTAAAGATGCTGTCCAATCAGGATGGGTGCAGTTTAGTTGAGTGGTGAGAAAACATCCACACACAGGCTCCACACATTCCATGGACATGATGATTGGGGGCAAAAGAAACTAAAAGAAAGGAACTTGTCTGGCTCTTTTATTCTAGCTGCACTCGTTCAGTCAATAACATTTTCTCATAAAATGTAGCCGGCTGACCAGCACACTTTTGAGGAGCAAACAGTAAACATGTACATACTTTTTTACAATCATTTTCTTTTCTCAAACTTTGTCACAAAGTGGGAACTTTTTTGTTTAATTTAAAAGTCATTAAGACTAAACCGTCATTGTTGGAGTTTCTGCTCTCCTGAAGCATGTTGATCGTTTGGAGAAACAACTGTGTTGTTTCATTAACCGGATAAAAAAAAACATTTCATTTGCCTTAATGTTCCCTTGTTTTATATTGAGTTTCAATCTGTTCTAAATGCTGTCTGCCACTCATCTCAAAGTTATTTTTACCATTTAGGGAAAGTTACTTTATACTTTGAAAATATCTATGTTTTGTTGAGCTTTTTAGGAGTTTGTCTGTTCTTTCTTTTCTGTTTCAATTTTTTTTTTTTAGATTTGGTTTTAAGAGATCCGGCAATTATATGCTGATTTGTTTTATATTAAACCTCTCAAGCTGTAATTAAATATAACCAGGTTGTTTTAATTATTGTGGTGGAAAAGTCATGATGTCCATTTCATGTCTGCCATTCAAAGTTTGAACATTAATTTTTGTCTTTGTCAGCATTTTCCTTATGTCTTTGTCTGGTGTGTTGCTTTTAAAAATGTGCCCGTTACCAAATAGAAATGTCCTCAGACTTGTTGCTGATTTGCATCAAGTGTTTGATTAAGTGCCTTTCAGAAAAAGATCTAAAATGTTAACCGAAGTCATCTTGTAAATAAACAATATATTTCATTGACCCTTGTTTTGATTTGTATTAGTGAACTCATGAGATTGTAGAGGTGGGCTCCACGGCTCATGCTACACATTTATATGTCCTCTCGGATATCAGAGTATTTCACATATATCATTACGTGTTCAGTGATCGGAGAACCAGTTAACACTTAAATGTGATCAGCAACACAATCAAACTGGATTGTTTTTTCATATCACAACCAGCATTTTTGTTTTAATTAAATGGTCTTAATTTATGAAACTTTTCCATGTTTGTTCTTCAAGTTTTTTTTTTCATTATTCTGAAGTTGATCATACATCCATGTATTGGACAGAAAAATAAATTGGCATTTGCTTGCTTTCCATATTTTTCAATGTGAAATATTTTTGGTTTAACTCATGGAGTAAATTTATTTTGAATGACATTTAAATTACGTCTCACTAAGGTTTTGTTAAGATTTTGAATAGGACAGTATTTCAAATTCTGCTAAAATAATATGACATCTGGAACGAATAGATGTGATTTACCAGGACACATGCAATTATTTCATTTAAAAGTTTTTCACCATACAGCGAGCTCGGTGAATGCATTTCGCATTTACTAAAACAAATCTTTTGTAAGCTGTATTTTGAGATTTTCAGAGTTTTTTCTTCGATGATTATTCACGCCCGCGTCTAGTTCGTGTAAGTGTTCATAGATCGCTTTCATTCAAACCAATAGTTGTGAGAGAAATGAAGAGCTCGTCGCTGCGCCGCTCAGTCGCCGGCTGCTCGGACTGGAAGTCCCTCCCCGGAAAAAGCACCGGGGAAGCTCTCGCATCTCGCAGGAAGACGACGCCGCTCGCTCGGCCCCCCCGGCAGCTGATGCTTCCTTGCCGCCGCGCCGCGGCTCTGTTTCTGCCTCGGTGGAGCGGGAGGGACGGCGGGCTGACGGCGGACCTTTCTGTCGAGGTGAGAACGTGGATCGAAGGGGGACGTGCTTCGCATCCAGGTGGTTGTTTCCACAGCGGCGCGCTCGAGTCGTGATTCTATTCGCTCCAAGAAAACAACGCAACATCAGAGTAATTCGCTCGGATGCTGCACCGTTTAGCACACAACCCTCCTCCTCCTCCTGCTCCTCTTCCTCTTCCCGCCTCCTCAAAGAGACTTGTTAAAAGTTGGGCGTGTCTTTTGGATGTAACGTTATTTCCTTTGTGTACTCGTGGGGATTAAGAAGGTTTTTGACGCTTCAGAGGGGGAAACCAGAAGAGGAAACCGTGAGGTTCGGGACTCTTTGCTCGGCAGCTGGTTGTACACGTAAAGAGCGTCAGATGGATCATCAGGTGTCGGGTTGGTTTGTGGAAGGTGAAACATCAACAGGTGAAGCCCAGTGAAGGCTCACATTTCCCCCACTGTAAAGTCAGTGTCTAATCTGCTATGGGGTCAGATGAGGGCGCCACAGATCTCAAGCCATTAAAATAGAATAAACTAAAGGCCTCGTGGTTATGAACATTCATGCTGGCTTTTAACATCACATAGACTTGGAATCCAGTAGTATCCACAAAGCAGTGACTTTTGTTGACAATTTTCAAAAATAGTTAATGCTAAAAAAAAAAAGTTCAAGCAAAATCTCCAACATTGTTATAATACCAACATTGTCTTCTATCATTATTATCCACATATATTTACTATATAAACCCATTTATGTGTTCCAAAAACATCACAATCTTTAATGATTTCCTTCCTGATATTTTTGAATCTCCTAAAACTAGAAACTATGTCAGTGTGGCTGTATGTTAAGGATGTGCTGGGGGTCTGGTAGTGACACAATGCAGTCTTTGTAACTATGACGATCCCAAACACCAAGCAGACCCCCATGCTTGTGTCACAGTCTTAAACCTAAAGGCAAACCAGTCTTCTCTGAGATGGGTGACCATCACCTAACATTGACCTTATTAGACCGTGACCCCAGAGTCCAACGGCGATGTTACAGGAAACAGACTTTGAAACTGCAAATATTCTGTTTTTGTCCCCATTTAAAAGGAACAGGGAGTTTACCAACCAGGCCATGGAAATGCAGACCCTGAGGGACCCCTGTGTTGAGGGAATTATGTAGTATTTTGAACATCAAAATCCAGTGCTCACACTTGTTGATGTTGGACTTGGTTCTATTGTTTACCCACCAATCATAATTTTTGGCAACTACTGGAGATTTGCAAAACAATAATGGAATAGTGTCATAATTAATGTTACTAATTAACCGCTTGGGTTACACAGCAATGACATGTGAACAGGGCTTTGGTGAAAGGGCCTGTGGGGAGTTGGAAACTGATGCATGGCCTCCACACGGCTCTCTGCAGAGAAGCTAACTGTTGACTGGAGGCCGTGAGGCCTCGACTTTAACAGGAGCCGCCATAACAGCGCCGCACAGTGCGGCGGCCATTAGCTTTTTATACAAAGCGCAGACAAACTCACATGTTGTATGTTTACTGTCTGCTTAGGTAGATATTAGTCCACCAACTATGTCAGTACATTGTAAATAGTCTCTGCTTCTATGTTATTGCTCTGAATATCAAAATTAGCTTGAAATGACACACTTGTTAGCAAATAGTTGCCAATTTATCCAACAGACACTGCAAGAGTTTTATTATTTGTCATGTTTTTGGCCAAGTGATGATCATCAGTCACATGTTCCTTTAGCTGTCACATAACAGCTACATATTGATCAGCTGTCTTTGGTCCAAGGCCTGAGGGAAATATATGGCTCCTTAGCTGTTAAATGCTCCACTTTGTTCTCCTCCTACCTAAAACTGAATAAAAGCCTGGAGAGCGTCTCTGTAACAGCCAGTCGTCACTTCAACGTTGTCACATTGTCAAAAGATACGTTATTGTCGTATTATAACTCACTCACTTTTACTCAGGTCCTGCTATGAGCTAAAGCTAAAGCTAAGGGAGCCCCTGATATTTGATTAAACAGTTTCACCGTCTCACACAACTATATTTTAACTACATAATTTACATAAAATTCACAACTATCTTCATAATTAATTTCGATACTCTACGTTTAATTTAGAAAATAAATACATTCTACACTTACAATAAACAACGAGAAAAAGTGGATAATGTGTTGTATATGATATTGTTTCTCCTCGTTGCTGAAGTTGTACTCGGGTCTCTTTTCGCGGTGCGCGAGCAGCGAGAGTCGTGGAGGAGGTGGAGGAGGTGCATGAGGTGGAGGAGGTGCAGGAGGTGGAGGAGGTGGAGGAGGTGGCAATCGTAAACCCCTCGCTGTTAATCCCGCTGTCCTCAATCTCTCTGGCTGTCTGCGCCGGACGAGGCGACCGGACGGGTCCACACGCGAACCGAGCAGCACCGCGACGCGCACGCGGCTCCGGTCCCCCCGCAACTCATCTGCTCCACCGCAGCTGCTGGAGCGCGAAATACGACGTTTCCCCCCCGAAATGTGAAGGGACTTTGCGTTCGCTCGGATTTCACGTGATCCTGTTTTTAAATATTAGGTGCGATGAGCGCTTCGGGAAACTCGGACAGCGACTCCAACAAACTGGAGTCCGTGATACAGGTGGGGTGCAGCGGTCCGTCCTCCACCTCCTCCACCCCTTAAACACTGCTGCTGTGGGATTTGTGACGAATGCTGCTGGATTATGTGCTGATGGACTACTGGGGCCTCTTCTGGTCTTGTGGCCCTTTGCAAACACGTCGTCATCTTTCAGATATTTATTTATTGTTTCTATTCTCTGTTTTTGGATGTTCATAAACTGGCTTTCATTTCATGTCTTCTGTATGTAAAGCATCACATGTCTGTGTCTTGTACGTTAGAGGCTGGAGGAGAGCGTTTTGTCTGAGGAGAAGAGGCTGACCGTCCGGGGCGCTTCGCCTGACGCCCCCCCTACATGTCTACCAGCACGAGTGCGAGAAATTGTCACAAAGAACCTCAACGAAACCTGTGAGTGGCCACAATCTGCTCTCCCTAGTTGTATAACATGTAGGATTTGACGCTTGTCTTTGATGGGTTGTGTCCGTGTCTGTCCTTTTGTCTCCACAGCCGGGGCCATGTCCTCGGTCGTGTCCCTCCAGGAGGAGAATCGGGTGCTGCAGGGAGAGCTGGCCAGGCTGGAGGACCTGCTGGCGCACAGCAGAGCCGACCGAGACGAGCTCGCCATCAAGTACGGTGCGATTAGTGAGAGGGTGAGTGTCTGACTGATTCTCATTTTCACCCTGGGTATTAAAAGTTAAATCCCAGGATATAAAAATCCCCACGGGGACATAAAGCTAAAGGGAATTCTGGGGCTCTTTCCGGTTCCCATTTGTGTTCTTTTTTCTGGGCTGTCTTTGTCTGAGATTTGCCAGTCTCCCAGGTGATGGGACTGGAATTAACTGAAGTGGAATGTTGCCATGGCGCCTGTCACTATGGGCGACTGTAAACAGGGGCTTCAGTATTGGTGGGTGGGTGCATCTTGTTTTTGGGTTAAACATTACCAAAAGAGACATACCATAATCTAAAGATAACAGTGAGAAACAGTGTCCTCTATAAAACTATTAGTCCCTGTAAACCAATATTAAAGCGTCTGGTGTGGTATAGATTAGTCCCCCCTCCCTCTTCTAACTTGTTTAGACCCTTCATTCGCTTTTCTAATCAAGTAATTTGATTTAATGTAATTAGAGCGAAAGGGTTGGTTTCCATACTGAGGTGCTGAAGTTTGGTTTGGTCAAGAATTATACACAATCTCAATTTTTAAGCCAACATGTATGAGCTCGGAATCGTTTTCTTATCACAAACTATTCACGGCGACTGGGACGAAGCCATTTGACGTGGACGCTTTAAAAACCCACAGCTGGAGCAGGCGCTCCGCTTCGAGACGGGGGACGGGGATCACGATTCCCCGGAGTCACTCGGCCTGGTGCAGCAGAATGTGGACTTGCGGCGGCGGCTGGAGGAGGAGCAGGCGAGCTACAAGCGGAAACTTACCGCGTACCAGGAGGGTCAGCAGAGGCAGGCGCAGCTGGTGCAGAAGCTGCAGGCCAAGG